GTGAACTTCTCCCAAGTAGCGCGAGGCGAGCAAGGGGCGAAGGGATGGGGTGGAAAACATAGCATCTAGATTTTTGTATGGGGGGTGGTACGTCGCTTGAGCATCGTCGGGCGACGCAAAAGCGAGCGGTTGTCACCAGGCGAGTGATGTGCTTTGTCGGGCGAGGGTGACGAAAAGAAAATAGAGCCCCTGAAGTTTTGTATAAGGATGGTGTTTTCGCTCTCTCCTCGTCGGCCTCAGGCTAGCATCCTGTGTCGTCGGGCGATCACCAGGCGATGGACAACAGTAGGATTTTAAAAGCATCGTAACTTGAGTTTTAGAACTCCGATTAACGCGTCGTTCGAAGCGTTAGAGAGCTAACGCAATGAACTATACCTTGGTGGAATAAAAAGAGTCATAGGAGGTGTTTATATAGTACCTACACTTTGATGAATAAGATGATTTTGTGATTGTTTTGGTATGATGTATGTGTATACGATGAATTGTTAATACTATGATGATGTTGTTTTGTGTTATGCAGTGTGTGTTAACATTATGATGATTATGTGAATCAAGATGTATTTTGACTAGCAGTGATCATTTGGTTATTAAGATGTTTCACATTATGCATTCATGGCATATGTTAGGGCACAGCCCAGTGATGGTTGCAGGATGTTATTCTAGTGAATTTTGTAGGACGGATAGTCCAGTGATGGCCTAAATCCCATAGTGTAAATTGAGTACAATTGGTGATGTGCTATGATTCCAAGAGGGAATCAATCCTATTGGTGGGTATCTTTTGAGAAACAATGACGGTGTCATCAGTGAATTGATACCACATGCATGAATTTAAAGAAGTTGCATTGCATTATATATGAAATTGCATGATGATTTGATTGACTGATGTTTTATAAATGCGTGTTTGTGACAATTTCTAATTAACGATATTACCATGTGTCTGATACGTATTATGATGCTTGAAGGTGTGAGTATGACATGAGGTTTCGATGGTGTGTTTATTTGGTGTTTTATTATAACTACTATATTTACTCCTTATGTCTTTTATAATGATTATGATTTACTCACTCTTGTTGCTTGAAAATGTTGCCTATATACGTGTGTAACTTGTAGGTAATTAAGAATAGTACGTCGAGGCTTAGAGGATAGTTGTAGAGCATGTTCTTTATTTCCTGTAGAGTAAAAGGGTATTGCTCTGTTATGTAACATCGGGGATGAGGTCATTTTCTTTGAATAACCATGTTACTCTGTTTATTTTGAGTTTGGAACTACCATTGTGGTATTTGAGTTGTTTTGACTTGATGAAGTTATTTAGAAGTATCTTAATAAAGATGTTTTGAATTATGAATTTCCGCTGCGAGTAATTTGAAAAACTATGGTTGTTAATCATGAATTACTTAACGTAATTGATTTTTTGAAAAAACTCGTGTTACAGAGCAGAATGTATTTTGCTATGAAGTTTTTTTGAAGCAATGTGACACTCTTTTTGGTGCGTCACTCTGATTTTATTATTGAATTATTTTGTGAATATTCTTTGGGGTTTAGAAGGGTGTTACAGATATGACACTATATACTTAGACACGTCAACTTCAAAGACATCATAGACTTGAAAAGGAGAAATATGGTTTCAGGATTACTAGAAATCGATATTCCAAACGAAGTGTGTGAGGAATGTGTGCAGGCGAAGCAACACAAGAATAACATCTGCAAGGATGCAGGAAGCAAGTCGGAGGCAATATTTAAAGTCAAATACTTTTATGTATGTGGTCATATCCAGGTGGATTCAGTTGGAGGTAATAGATACTTTGTCACATTCATAGATGATTTCAGTCGAAAACTGTAGACTTACCTGATCAAGAAAAAAAGTGAAGTGGTCGAGATATTTGTCAAGTTTAAATCTATGGTCGAAAGATAAAGTGGTCGAAAACTGAATATTCTGAGGACTGATGGTGGTGGATAATATGTGTCGATATACTTCAACATGTTATATGATAAAGAAGGAATTGTGCATGATGTGGTGTTATCCTACACTCCACAACAAAATGAAACTACTGAAAGGAAGAATCAAATCATCATGAATATGGTGAGAAGTATGTTGAAAGACAATAATTTACCTAAAGAGGTTTAGGGTGAAGTTGTGTCAACTGCAACATATATTCTGAAAAGATGTACGACGAAGATGCTAGAAGGAATAACTCCAGAAGAATGTTGGTTTGGTGTCAAGCCTAGCTTAAGTCATCTAAAAGTATTTAGATCTATAGCACATAAACATGTGTCTGATCAGTTAAGAAGAAAACTTGATGACAAGTCGATTCAAATGATTCTAATAGGATATCATTCGACTGAAGGATACAAGTTAATCGACCCAGTAAATAAGCAAGTAGTGATCAGCACGGACGTGATCATTGATGAGCTTAAGGAATGAGATTGGACTAAAAATGTAAAGAAGATTCAGTAAGAATCTTATGTGAAGAACCAGCCACTGAAGTCAAAAGAGAAGAAGTTTGACGGTAAGAAGTCAGAGGTGAAGCAGGCCCAAGCAGGCCTCAAAAAACAAGATGCATGCCTGCAACGTAGCAGGAATGTGTGATTACATTATATAATGTGGTCGATCATGAAGGTGAGCTGGTACACTATACTTTCTATGCAAATGTCAAACCAGTCAATGCAGTTGAGGCATTGCAGCATTTAAAGTGGATGAAAGTGATGAATGGGGAATTGAAGTCCATCGAAGTCAACAACACTTGGTCACTTATCAAATTGCCTCAAAGCAAGAAGGAAATCAATGTGAAGTGGGTATACATGGTGAAGTTGAATCCCAAAGAAGAAGTAACTCGACACGAGGCAAGACTTATGGCAAAAGGATTTCTTCAGAAAGGAGGAATCGACTTTGATGATGTTTTTGCACTTGTTGCTATGCGTAACAATCAGGTTGGTTGTTGGTCTAGAAAATATGAACAATTGACACATATGTCAGATGGATGTGAAATATACATTCCTAAATGGTCCCTTAGATGAAGAAGTTTATGTTGCACAACCAGTTGGGTTTGTAAACAAGGCAGAGAAAGAAAGGTGTACAAGATGTATAAAGCTCTGAATGGACTTAAACAAGCTCCAAGAGCTTGGAATAAGAAGATTGACAGATTCCTAAGGGAAAATAAATTTGTGAAGTGCACAACTGAGTATGGAGTATATGTAAGAAGAAGCAAGAGTGAATTGCTTATACTATGTCTTTATGTTTATGACTTGTTGATAACATGTAGCTGCAAGAAAGAGACCGAATACTTCAAAGATAATCTTAGTAAGGAACTCGAAATGTCTAATTTGAGCGAGATTCATACTTCATTGACATCGAACTATACAAGAGTAGTAGAGGATTGATGATGCATCAAAGAATATATACAAGTGAAATACTCAAGAGATTTGATATAGAAGAATGCAACTTGACTTCGACACCTATTGGGCCAAAACTGCAACTGTCGAAAGACTCAGATGAAGATGATGTCGACTGAACACAGTACAAAATACTTATTAGGTTATTAAGGTACATTTGTCATACAAGGTCGGATCTAACATACAACGTGGGTATGGTTAATAGATTTATGCAGATGACAAAGGTATCACATCTAGCTGTGACGAGGGGGATACTAAGGTATCTCAAAGAAACCCTCGACTATAACATTTTATTTCCTGCAGTTGATGAAGGAAAATAATGCAAACTAGTGGGATACACCGACTCAAATTGGTGTAGTGATGCTGAGGATCGAAAATTCACAGTTGGTTATGTGTTTATGCTAGGTGGAGCACTAGTTGCTTGGAGTTCGAGAAAAGAGTCAGGAGTAGTATTGTCATCATGTGAAGCAGAATACATAGATGCTTCTTTTTGTGCTTGTCAAGCAACATGGATGGTGAACCTGGTCGAAGAAATAACAGGGAAGAATCATGGAGCAATTACCATGAAGATCGACAACATGTCAGCTATCAATCTGGCGAAGAATCTGATAGCACATGGACGAAACTTGTAGCAAAACCGAAGCTGGACTTGAAACACTGCAGAACTGAGAATTAGAATGCAGACATCATAATGAAAGGAGTGCAAGTCGAAGTGTTCAAGAAATTAAGATCTATGATGAATGTAGATGACTTAGACGCAATGAATTAAGTGGTGTGTTAAGATTGTAATTCAAGCATGTTGCTCGACATAAACAAGGTCAGATCGATTAGCCGTGCGTGCGTGCGTGCGTGCGTGCGTGCGTGCGTGCGTGCGTGCGTGCGTGCGTGCGTGTGTGTATCGAATTATCAAAAGAGTTGCCTCGACGTGCCAATTTTTGTAGTTAATGAAATTAGATGCTTTGGACTTTTGTGTTTTGGGCTTTGCCTTAGAGAACAAGCAAACCTAAAACTATAAATATGGAATAACCCCTGTTGTTGTAATCACTTGAACATTACAATTGCAAAATAAAGAATATTCATAGTTTGTGAGCAGAGAGAAACTCCACAAATATTCATCTTTTTCCCCTATTTTGTTCAAACTCTAATCGTCTTCTTCCTCAATTTCACTTTTCTTTCTTCTTTCATTAACAATTGTGCAGCATAATCATCTTACAATCAAGGTTAGTTGATTCACTCAAGTGAAGAGTGAAGAACAAGAGATTTCGATCGGGTTAATTGAATCTTACTCATCAAGATTGATTTGAAATTCTCCATAGATTTGGTATAATTCCTAACAGTAATTATAGGTTCAACACTTCCTTTAATATCAATAAGATGATTTTTTATTTTAAAAATCAATAAAACACCTCTCTAAAAAAAATACGAAGTGGATGTGCATGCACCAATAGATATAAACAGTTTGTGGATAGCTACCCATCCCAAAACAATATTTATCAACACAAGGATCAAATTTAATCATATTTACAATGTCTAGAATGAGACCACACAGTTTTTTCTTCTTCTTTTTGAAGTTTTGTTCAAAAGGTAGTGAAAAATCATAGTTACTTGTATCACAAGAGACCACACAAACGTGGCCTTGAGCAGAACTGTCTTCCATTAGCTTTGACAATTGCCATGATTCCAGCAGTTATTCCAGCACAGATTACAGAAGACACATACTGCTGTGTGTTTCGGCCCGCTATAAAATAACAACAGATTTTCAAATTTAAATAAAAAGAAAAGAATAGGCAAAGTAAGCATCAAGGAAACTTTATTCAGATGGAAGAAAAACAAAGTTAAATACCTTGATGAAGAGTGAAGGAAGTTGCTGTCAAACTACCAATTATCAAAGCTGATGCTACAGGGAGGTACTGCAAAGTTACATTTTTCTATAAAGTATGTCAATAACACATTAAAATGGTTTCATAAGATCTCAACCATGACAAGATTAGCTCATTTTCTTTTTCGACCATCAGAAGTTTTACGATTCAGATGGTAGAAAATGGAGATATTAGGATCCAATGTTACTTACAGATAAAGGTTCAAAGTTATTTCGTTGAAAAGGAGAAGGAGCGTTTCTTCTGACAGTATAGTGACCGCTTATCAGATCCAGAGCATCCTGCAGAAGACATCAAACTCATTAACCATTTTTGGATAAACTGCCACATATTATTGACTGCAATGAATCATGAACATAAATGAACTTGCCTGCCGAATTCCATCATGGAAATTATTCAAGTAATAGCGCGAAACTGCACTAATCCCATCTTTTATCAATCCAGCTAGTGTTTTCTTTCCATATCTGCATCATAAATCCGAAATCTATCAGTATGACATAAGTAACCAGAAAAACACAGGATTCATTCATTACCGGAAATTTCATACCTAACTAAGTCCCCTTTGAGAGCATTAGTCCCAGCATACTCGAGGCTTATCTCATCACCTTGCTCTGCCCATACTAAATAAAATTATTGGATTCAAATAAGCACGGTTATAATTCATAAAGAATAATAGAGATTATGAAGAACTTTCATACATATTCTGAACTTTCCATTTTCCTCGCCAAACATTGAAATGCACTCGGAGCAAGTAAGCACTCCGATTCTCTGCAATTGATGATTTAATGCCTTCTGGGCCATATAACACTACAAACAGCGGCACGATAATCAAAATAAGTAGTTGCATAACTTACACAAAGGAAGACAGTCAGTGAAGGATTAAGAAACTTTAAATCAAATTATCCTTTGGCGGGGAACCTGAGTAACATTTGTTCGATCAAGGGAATCGATGCAGTTTACTCTGATAATTCCTTTCTGCTCCTCTAGTATATCTCCTTTTCTATCTATCATGAAGTATCTGCTCAGCTGAAACAGAAATGATTAAAAACCTGAATCATAGATTGCCAGCATATCCGGATTGTGGCATCTAGCTACTGATATTCGTTAATAAATACATGAATTCTTTTTCATTACCTTTGTTTTTCAAAATCCTCTGAAATTTGATCGTAAAGGATTTTCATACTATCGTAATTTGAGTTCCCACAGTGGAAATGGAAATCAAAAGGCACATATCTGCCATAGTTTCATAATCCGTGAGTCATAAAACAACAAACGTAAAAGAAAAAATGCGAATCAGATTAGTCAAAAACAAACTGATATATAACACAACCAGCGCAGACTCGATAACACAAGGTTGTATGTGAGTTTGTAACACAAGAATAGAGTATAAGAAAAAAAAGTCGAAATTATCACCTCACATTTTGCTGATTTTGCATTTCAGCGGCGTATGCTGCACTTAATTGACCTTCTTCACCATGCTGTTGCAAAGCAAAATTAACAAGAAATTGATCAAAAATAGAAGACACAAAGTAACAAAAACAGTTGAAAGGGAAAGTTCATTGTAGAGGATTTGCTATGGGTGATTTATATCCTAAAGGGTATGCTAATCAAACTTGGCCGGTTCAAAAAATAATTTTGCGATAGGTTCAGATTAGTATTGAGAAAGAGTAGATAGTAGAAGTCTTACTTTGTCAGTTAGATCAACTGCTAATATCTCTCCGAATCTTTGTGAGAGATCATGGAAATGACGCTCCACAATATTTGGCTGAAAGTAAAGGAGTAGAAGGGGAAAAACAATAAGAAACACATATAATAATATTCTGTGAAAACAATTTAAGAACCAGAACAATTGAGAAGTAGAAGTGTACTGTTTGCTCATGACTAATAACCCTAAGGTGTGGTTTATAGCTTAGATCAACAATCTGCTCCCACAAAAGAGGAATTGAACCTCGAACCTGCAACATATTAATTAGGGTACAGATCACAAACAGGGAGGTCAAAACTAAATATGCTAGCAGAAAACAAAACAAAAAGTGTAAGGAGAAACTATGAAAAGGCATAATGGAAGTCGATACTCATTAATGTAAAATAATACCTGTAAAAATGAGAAACTGAAATCTTCAGTTTCCAGTAACTGTTCAGTTTCAATGAAATTGGCAGTGTCACCTTCAAAGTTAGCTCCTCTTCTCCACATTCTAGTTCCTACATCACCATATTTTCATATTATAGTGAGTTATTGCAAATTTATTGAACTACCATTTTAAGAATGAAGCATCATTGGACATTTTACCTAGACGTCGTGTACATCTCCTTGATATTAATGTCAGTTTAGCACACAAGTCTTTTAGCTTCAGCTCAGCTGTTTGGAAGCTTAAGCACCGGTTAAGGGAGAACGTAACAGGTTTATTATACAGAAAACACATTCACACAAAAAGGGGACAGGGGAGAGAAAAAGTAGTTAAAATTTCAGGATATTCCCTTGTACTAGGGGCAGGATGAATCTGTCAAGCTGTCATCGAAAAAGTTTTATGTTAGGAGAAGATGAAATTCATTTTTCAGTGAAATTGAAAAAGGACTATTACTTCAGCAAAAACCAAACGCTGCAAAATTATCTGACCTTAAACTCAACGAGCTCCTCCATAAGATGCTTGTTCCATACATATCGCGGGTCAGCCTGAAACATAAATCGGAAAAAAGAATCCATAAAATTTCAAGCTATTTCCCCCCTTGTTATTGCATCAAATGATGTCAACAGGTTTAAGAGGCCTTTCTTCGATCTTTCCTAATGTAAAAGTAAATGTACAAGAGAAGTGGTCTGAAAGAGATTTTCCGTGACACGTTGCAGTGGCATCATGTCAACTAACCTGCTTCCATAGTGGCTTACTCATCCACCCTTCAACTAACTTGCTTCTTCTCTGCAAGCTGACCGATAAGATGAATTACATCTTATGAACATCAATCTTGCATTAATAGTAATAATAAAAATAAACCAGCAATATAAGGATTGCAACACTCACTTTAATGTAATATCGGTTTCATAAGAATAGTATAGACCTGGCATTGACTCTACTATTTTCAGCAACGTCAAGAAGTATTCTTCATCCCTTTTCTACAAAAAAAGATATAACACAAAGGACAAATTGAGTATTGATTACATGTATAACACTTGATTGATCCCTCGAAAACTTATAATTACACAACCTCTTACTTCTTGAGAAGTTGAAAACTTCAGAGCCTCATTACATGCAAGAACTCTCATAGACATCAAGCGATAAACCGGAAAACCAAGGAAACTTCCAACTTCCTTCCGAGAAGTTATTACAATGGCATAAGTTCCTGTATCAAAAGATAGCATTATTCAACCTTAATATGTGTTATAAATGAAGCTATGTTAATAGAGAAAATAAATATTTTTTTCTTCGTTCATCACAATTCTTATAGCTAGCTTAACTTCTTTCTGCTAAACCAATGCATCGCAATTATAAGCATATCTACCTACAACCAATCTTATTGTTCCCACGACACCGTAAATCGTAGATGTCTTTGTTGGACTTCCTAAAACTGTGTCACCTGCAAAAGATTCATAAATAAAAAAACCATATAAAGGAAAATTATTACATTAAAATGGTAATTTCAAATATGTTCCTGAATAAATGCAAACCAAATAAATGCAAGCAAAATCTCAAAATGTAAGAAACATTAGTTTTTGGCTCATAATCCTCTCTTTTTCCCAAAACAACATTAATAACTAACCAAAACCACAACCCTAAGGTTCCGTTAAGTCAGCTTAGTTGGTAGCTGTGTAAAAAAAAAAGTGAATTGCAGCCACTAGACTACCTCACAAAAAAAAAACCAAAACCCTACAAAAAAAAATCCACTTGAAAAGCAAATCAACTTCTCAAATAACCTTCTCCTGAAAACTACAAGCTTCATAAAAGTAAAACATGTTATTTCCATTTCAAGGCAAACATAAAATGATAAAAGAAGAAGAAATTACCATCAAGTGAATTGATGTTTCCATCAACACGACTAATCCCAAAGCCATGATTAGGAGATTGATGAGATTTGATAACAAATTTGTCCTGAAACTCTTGCAATTCAAGTTCATCGTAAAGCTTGAATCTTTCAGCAGAAACCGAAGGAGATTCAGTGTCCATTGTAAATGATTGAGGAAAAACAAGATAAATATGTAATATGTTAAAAAGATAAAATCAAAACCAAGATTTTTGTTTCAATTTATGACAAAGTCCTTGTCTACGTAACAGCCTGTTCTTCCTCTTCAACACCATTAATGTAACCATTTTGGGTTAAATTACTTTTACACCCTCGGGATAATGGTTTAAAAATTCTATTTAAAATATAATCTGATTTTACTTAAATAAATAATATAAATTTTGCGGTATAAATTTTATTTGTAAACATTTTATATATATGAGTATGACAGGTTGAATAGATTTAAACGGAAAAAAAAATCTTTAGTATACTATATTTAAATAAATAAACTCTTAAAGAACATAAACATGAATCATTTACTAAATTAGTCAACTCAAACTGAACATAAAATAAACAAGCTATAAATCCTTCTCCAACGACATGGCCAATTTTTAGCTCTATTTCTAGAGTATTTATTACAAAGAGAATAACTAACTTTAATCGAAATTCATTATCCTAATTTATATATAATTTGTTAACAAGTAACTTCTTAACTTAAATCCAAAATCATAACTAATGGTAACAAAATGTTCAAATGTTAGTTTTCTCTATATTGGCTTTTAAATTTTATTTTTAGCAACGAAAATTAAATAATTATAAATATATGGTGTTTCGTTTGAGAATTATAAATAGATGCAGTGTTGAATTGGATGTCTTGAATCGACGATTCTGATCTCCATTTGACGGCACAAGGGAAACCTGCATTGTGAGCACTTCAACGTCGAAGTTAGTTTAAGATTCAAGATGGATATATTGAAAAGTGGAGATCAAAGAATGTACATTGTCTCATGTGTGGACTAACTTTTATATCTTGGATCGAGTGAAGTGGATTTGAGGCGGATATGACCTTAGCTATTTGGATCTTTGGCTGAATCAGAACAGTTGTCCTCAAGACTTTGCGGGGCATATGATGAGTCGGAGAAGTCTTCAGTGATTTGGTCGATCTCTATAATGATGTCTACCATGAGCTAGAACTAAAACGTTTGAAGTTAGTTAAAACATCAGTGTGGAACAGTATTAGACGACAACGCCTTATCTAGAGGGGGTGAATAGATCACCAAGCCAAAGAATCCAAATAATTTTTTTGGTTTTAAAAGTAATTAGAAAAGAGTGCACGCAGAAGGTTTTCAAAAAGTGTCGTCTATACGAACCAAACTATTGAAAGTCGGATAATATAAAATGAATTATGGAATGAACACTATAATATGGAATTTATATACTTCAATCAAGTAACAAGGTATTAATTGTTTATACCAAGTTACTAGCAATACTATTTCCAATGGTAACAATCAAAAGAACAAACAAACAATTTGTCGAACACTTGGTGTGCAATCGAATTTTCAAAATTTTCCTTTGAGTTGTGTTGATATAAAAAGTACTTATAATCAAAAGTGATTATAAGTAAATCAACACATAATTCAAAACAAAATAAGCCAAGGAAAAATTCCTACGAGTCGATCGATTACTCAATGCTATTAGACAAATTGATTGATGAAAACTAAAGCAAGTAAAACGATAAGAAAAAGAGACACGAGAATCTGTTTAGGAAGTTCGTCAATTCGTCCTCGCTATGGCTACGTCTCCCACCAATTCCAATTTTAGAATTAGGATAATTCTTACTATGCAAAAAATCGTTACAAGAGAAGTGTTCTAATAGCAACCCTACAAACCCTAATTGTTTATTATTAATTTAACCCCTTCTTTTATGTTGATCTTGAGAAAGACCAAGATACAATAGATCCCAATTGACTTGTCGATATTGCTACTCCTTTGCATTCTTTATCTCCAAAGCTTTCACGCACGATCAATTATACATATTGCACACAAGATTTCAATTCGATTTGTCGTTGTCGCGCTACTTCCTTTGTGTTCTTTATCTCCAAAGGTTCTTTGTATTCTTTATCTCCAAAGGCTTTCACTAGGTTGCAATCCTCTCTTGAATGTCTTACACGAAAACCTCAAATCAATCAACGATCTTGGAGGACAAACTTGTGGTTTTTCTGGATGAAACCCCCTGCAAATCTCAACCCAATATTCTCGGCGACACAAGAACCTAATTGGACATTATCAAACCTCGCCTAGATGGCACCCCGAAAAAAGATTATTATGTGTGATTTATCAGAGTGTATGCAAAAGTTGAAGGTTGAAGATGAAGAGAAAATGCAATAAGTGTTTATAGTTTCACCAAGTTGGAATGATGCATGAATAATGTATTTATAGTTGTGGAAGTTTAGATGCAAAAGAGTGGTTTTTTGAATTAAAAATAATTGAAAATTGACTTAATCAAACAGTATGGGTCGACCTGAAACTCGTATGTGTCTACACATAAGTCAAGAATTAACTTTATATGTCGACGTGAAAAATGGATGTGTCGACCCAAGCATGGCAGTAGCGTTTTGCCTTTAAAACTGCAGTGCATATGTCGACCTGAAATTCGTATGTGTTGGCACATAAAATAAGAACTTCTACAATTTGCAAAAGATTCAGTATGTGTCGACCTATATGGATGCATGTGTCGATCGAAGACCTCTAAAGGCTTTAGGCTTCAGAACTCAGTTGGATGTGTCGACCTGAAGTACGTATGTGGCGACACATGCAAGCAAAAATTATACAAAAATTGTTTTTCAAGACTTTGGTCAATTTCAAAATGTTTTTTAATGGTTCCTAAGACCCATAATACAAAGGAGTGCCACAAGATATAGAGACACCGTCCAATATACAGAAATGCTAAGTTTTCCTAGTTTTCACATCATGCAAAACATCTAATGGTGAAATTGTACTCACATACTCCCCCTTTTTTATGATGGAAAAATTTACGACGATGTATTTCATGTAGTTATCAAAGGCTCCCCTGACTTTGTGTTTCACAACTTCGTCTCGCATATGCTTCTCCCCCTTTGACAACATCAAAAAGAAAGATAGAAAACCGTGAGAAGTATCATGTTCCAATACAAATACTAATATATCACTTAGAGGCGTTTTTGCATAGAAGAGCAACAATCACATATCTTCATATATATGTAATGATGTGAAATTGATAAATAACCAGCAAACAATATTACAATATATGTAATGCAATGCATGATGAATAAAGAATGCAGTGTAAGAGAAAACTTTTCAAGTTGCTTCTATAGCGTCACAGTTATGTAACACATCATAATAGAACTCTCGATGTCGCACACGTGCCTAGCATAGCGACAAGAACTTGTCACTACTAAAACCAAAATGAAGATGTTTGTCATAACATGTGGCCAACTACAACATTGAATGCATATTGCAAATAACACACAGACAATTAACTCAAGCACGAATACAAGAAATAAACTTAATAAAAACACATGCTTGCACAACAAGAACAAACTTATACATATGTGAAAGAATTAATATATGAAGTCATTATAAGCATGTATATTGAGATCACACAATGGTTATCAATCAAAAAAATTGGAAATGAGCGTTCATGGTTTTCATCATTTGAGAACATATCAAGCATTTTTACCCAACAAGTAACATGCATTAAGAAAGGTCTTACTTCAAAGAGAAATTGAAATGGTATTATCTCACTCTTGATGGAACGAAAGTTGCACTCACATGATGTAAAATACTAAAAAAAAAGAGTTAGATTAAAAGTATAAAGTGCAAGAAGCAGAGTAGAATTAGGCAACATTGGAGATATTGATGATACCCAATTCCCCACATATATTGAAAAACTATTCATTGTAAGAGGTTTAATGAAAATATCGGCAAGTTGATTCTTACTATCAACATGTTCGAATACAACATCTCCTTTTTCAACATGATTGCGAAGGAAATTGTGACGTATCTCGATATGTTTAGTGTGATAATGTAGCACGGGATTATTGGTTAGATTAATGGTACTAGTGTTGTCACACATGATAGGAATACCTAAAAGTTTAATGTCAAAATCAAGTAATTTAAAATTTTGGTATTCAGATCTCAGTGACAAGAACATAGTTCAAAATAATTAGAAGACAAACTTTAAAGACACATAATCACTCAATACTTAGAAGCTTAAGATTGATTGACAATACTTATAACTCACTAGAGACAATCCTACTTTTATACCAAGATGATATTAGATAGGCTCACAATTAACAAGAACGCACAAACTCTAAAAAGACACTTAATAATAATACACGTTCCACCTTTCAATTAGGTTTATAGCATTCTATTTATAACCCATTTCTGGACTGGACTGGGCTTCAAAAACACAGCAGGGCATTGCAAATATAGTTGCAGATTTATCTCCTCAAAGATAGGACATTAACCATTAGTTTCCTAAACTATCTCCATAATTAGAAACTAAGAATACTCCTTGAATTCAACTTGAATCTCTTAATCCTTAAAGTAAGCTCCACATAGGATAGCATAATATTCCCAGAATATTTTGCATATGTAACAAACTAAAAGAATACAAGTGTCCAACTGTACCAGTCATGATGTCGAATGATTCAGGATAGGATATCTTATTCAACATGTTTTTTTGCATGATAGAACATTGTGATCAACATGTTACTGTCAAACAGAATCTCTGATTCCTCTGTCTTGGACGCCACATAGGATTACTTCATATTCATATAATATTGATTAATTTAAATCAACTATATCCAAACTGTAAAAACTGTAACAGACCAGGTGTTCTACTCTTCTTGTTAGGACATCGCATTAGACATGTTGAAACTGCAAGTTGAAACATCTTGTTCACCTTGTTGCTGCTAAGTTAGTTTTACCAAATTAATACCAAGCATTAATGATAGAGAAACTGTTGCATTCCTCCCCGTCTGTAATTGCTATGTATCCTTAAAGAATTCAATGCCACTTTATTTTTCTTTGATAAAGTTCATCCAAGCAAATTTTGAAAAATCATCAACAACCACACCGACATATCTCTTTCTACCAAAATTGTCAACCTGCATAGGTTCCA